ACTCGGTTTTCCTGGGTCTTTTCACGTGTGTTATGAATAAATCTTATTTTTTTCGGTACCGGTACCAGTTTTATTTTGTTGTATTTATCCGCGGTTATTTTTGCATTCTGATTTTTACTTATTTCTTACCCTTGCCTGCGCTTGGATCTGCACCTCGCCTCACATGATCTGCAACAGCAGGTCCTGACAGATCTATCCTCTCCTGCAGCAAGCAGCACCAAGCCGCTGTTTGGAAGGTTTTTGAACAACCATTTTCACAGAAACAGACTGTCATATAAAAAATATGCACCATTATAATTTGTGTGTAAAGTAAAATTATTAATTTGTCTTTTTTCTTTTCTATCTAAAATAACATATTGGAATGCACTGGAATATTTAGACTATATTATTAGAAATAAACCACTACAAAAGTCACTGGGTGGAGCTATATTCTGAGGACACCACACCTCTCAGCCATTGACCTATGCTGTTGAAGTTGGAGTTGAAACCAGTCCATTGGTTTATATAAACATGGATGCAAGTCCTCATAACATAGCTATCCACTCACAGCGGATTTCTGAGTGGCTCTTTTCTAATGATAGACATTGAATATTCCAATATGATATTTTAGAAAAAGCAAAAGAATAATTATTATTTTACTTTATACACCAATTATAACAGTGTCTTTTTAATAGGACACTCTGTATCTGTAAAATTGTTGCTCAAAAAACTGACAGTTACATCGTGCTTGCTTTAACATTGTTTTTTCTTTCGGATTTTTCAATATGCAAGTGGCTTGCTTGGCGTTACTTGCTGCAGGAGAGGTTGGATCTTTGGATGGTTAGAGGTCAATCAATGACGAACGCGGCACAGGCCTGTGGTGTTTCGACCCACAACCCTGAACTGGACAAACAGGAGGATATGGATGGCATATTATTTTTCTGTACTGGACATTTTAAACATGTAATTTACCATATTATATATTATCATCAAGATATAAACTCTGCTGTGTAAGAGGATCCTCTCATACTCATATGTTAGTCTAATGTATTCATATGTATTATTCTTTTAAACATAGTTATTAGCTTTTTGCATGTTTCCAGTTTATTACAGACTCCCTGATGCTTTTTTAATCAGTTATCATGACCATGGTATTAAATTCCTGCTATTTACAGAAACTGCCACAGCTGTTCTCTGTGGTCATCACTATTCTTAAGTTTGTTTTGATTATTCATGTGGTTATCTATATGTTATTAAATAAAATCAGGCGGTGTTGCAAATTGCAACACTGAAACTCTTATTACACAGAAACTACCACAGGTAATTGAGTGGTAATAACTTATAAATTGCCACAAATCTGTTCAGGTTTGTTCAGTTTTTTTCTTGTTGTTGTTGTTGTGTTTTTTTTTTGTAAGACGTTTTTTTAATTAAAAGACAAGAAAACTGTTACTTACACTTTTGCCAAAGTTTCTAGAATTTGCACCAAGCAATGACAGCAATGACAGTGATGACAGTGATGACAACCCCACCAACAATGACACCAATGGCACCGGCACTAACAGGGTTGTTAGTGTTATCATTATCATTACCTGAAAAACACAGAATCAATATGTCAACTTTTTTTTTGTTTTTTTTTTTCTAACCATAGCCGTCTAAGAACACTTATCCTCCCATCAATCTCACAGCAGCAACATATCTGCCAAATCTTATTTGCTTTCTGTTTATCACAGATTTATAGTGATGATAACAGCATTCAGTGGCCACATCTGTGCTGAGTCTGCTAGATCAAAGAGGAGGTGACATGTATCGGACTGAAAACCATTGATTATTTTTCAATAGGCTGATAACATCCAAAATAACAGTTACAAGATCAGACAGAACGCTTTATCCCCTAACCAGTCGCGTTTTTTCCCCCAACGGTTCTCTAAACTACCGTAACAAACCAAACGGTTTGTGCAATCTTTAAAATTCCAACGGTTCCTGAAAGCATCAACATTGCTTACCTTAATGATTTTAGTGTCACATCAGAGTCAGTGTCAACAGAAACATTGACAGTAGAGTCTGCATCACAGCAGCCCAGGGTTGAGAAAGAGTAAGTGAGTGCGAAAGAGCCATACAGAAAACTGAATTTCAGCCCAGATCAGTGAGTAATGATGACAGGGTTTCATGGCAATAAGAACATTATGTGTTATGCCATGCTATTTTATTTTACAAACAACTTATCACCCATCAGCAAATTAGAAAAA